TGCCTGTCTTTCTTTTGCTCATCTTGGTCCTTTGTTTTCCAGTTGAAAACAACCTCTTTTTCGGCGTCGCTACGGCCGCTCCGTGTAGGAGAAGTACTAGAGGTGCTGTTTTGGAACCCGGATTTGCTTGTGGTTTTTAATTGTGTGAATATAGGTATGAGACATTGGGGAAAACCGAACTGACGAAATAGTGGTGTGAGGCTTGTGTGAATATCTGATTCTTTGTTCAACGGATAAGCACGAGCCCACTGTACTGGTGTAGCATAGACCGCGACGCAAGCAAGTGTTTCCTTCAGCTGACTTGCAGGGTCCAAACTTAAGATCAACATAGACATTTGTCTTCAATCTTGGATACTCCAACTGATATTGTACAGGGCAAAAACGGCGAGACCCTTGAACAACCGACCAATCACAAACGGCACGTTGAGTTGTCTTCTCCAGGGTGCGACGAGCACATTCAATACTGGTTCTCCATCGACGAGCAAGTTGATCCGGCTTGATGAGATAGGATTTTCCGGAAGTTTGTACGCCACATACGAAATAATAATAATAATAATAATAACTGAGACATTAATCGTTAATATGCTACTCTATGGGCATTCGATTGCCGGTGAAATATTCGGCTGTAAAGGTCAAGTACTGTGAAGCGGTGAGTCAACAACAAGTTTGAACCATGTGAGGCATCTGCATTTTGAACAGAAGTTGCTCAAGTCTCCCAAAGGGGTAAAGACTTCTCCCGCGACGTGGCGGGGTGAATTCGGGGCATGTAAGGTCCCGCGAAAAGTTGGTCAGGGTCCAGGGGAGAAAATAGTCCGCAGACTGCGGCGTTGTGCTTTCATGGAGCGACGGAAATCTCTGCGTTCCTGACAAAGCAACTTAAGCCACTCTTCGACAGCATCTCCTGAATATAAATTCTTCATCCACCACTCCAACAGGTTTGAAACAATGCTGTCGTAATGTCCACTCCTGCGAGCTTCTCGTTCGGCGATTCGTTTCGCCTCGATCTCATCAGCCATGCGTTGCGCTTCATTGTCGTCGATAACACGCTTCTCGTCAGTTTGGGTTGCAGAGACCATCTTGGAATTGATGGGATCCCTGTCTTTAGGCTGTTGTAGGTCAATTTCCACTCGTTTCTTGACGGACTTTTTAGCCACAGGGGTCGTTTTCATCTTAGACACGCCCGACTTTTTTGTCATCGCCGAGGATGCCTTTGCGTTGATAGATTTGCCCATGGTGCGCCGGTGTTGAATGGTTGGCTTGGTGATAAATTCGAAAGTTTTCTACGTAAATTCAGTACTAGCGCTACGCAAGGCAGACTGGTTGGTTCTGCCGGATTGCGTGTTGTTTCGTTTCTGAAATAATTTTTTCTATTCCTATTAGATCTTATTCTACTGCTATTCTTGCCAGAAGTCGATCAACAATGATCTCCACAAGCAGGTACAAAAAATCTCTTCCGGAAGCAACCTGCGTCAGCTCTCACCAGCTGTCGCGGCGTATAAAGCACATACGCACATGTTCTTCACGAACTAGTCACAGATCTGGATCTACCTTCAATACTTATCCATCTCTGTAAGTACTTGAACCGTACTCCCGTCCGTGTTCGATATCTGGAATGTCCGACTTCACTGTCCGACATGTTCGACTGTTCTTTTATCTGTTAAGATCCCATTTCACCAACAGATGCCTCACATGGTTCAAACTTGTTGTTGACTCACCGCTTCACAGTACTTGACCTTTACAGCCGAATATTTCACCGGCAATCGAATGCCCATAGAGTAGCATATTAACGATTAATGTCTCAGTTATTATTATTATTGGAACAATGCTATCGTAATGTCCACTCCTGCGAGCCTCTCGTTCAGCGATTCGTTTCGCCTCAATCTCTTCAGCCATGCGTTGCGCTTCATTATCGTCGATAACACGCTTCTCATCAGTTTGGGTTGCAGAGACCATCTTGGAATCGATGGGATCCCTGTCTTTAGGCTGTTGTAGGTCAATTTCCACTCGTTTCTTGACGGACTTTTTAGCCACAGGGGTCGTTTTCATCTTAGACACGCCCGACTTTTTTGTCATCGCCGAGGATGCCTTTGCGTTGATAGATTTGCCCATGGTGCGCCGGTGTTGAATGGTTGGCTTGGTGATAAATTCGAAAGTTTTCTACGTAAATTCAGTACTAGCGCTACGCAAGGCAGACTGGTTGGTTCTGCCGGATTGCGTGTTGTTTCGTTTCTGAAATAATTTTTTCTATTCCTATTAGATCTTATTCTACTGCTATTCTTGCCAGAAGTCGATCAACAATGATCTCCACAAGCAGGTACAAAAAATCTCTTCCGGAAGCAACCTGCGTCAGCTCTCACCAGCTGTCGCGGCGTATAAAGCACATACGCACATGTTCTTCACGAACTAGTCACAGATCTGGATCTACCTTCAATACTTATCCATCTCTGTAAGTACTTGAACCGTACTCCCGTCCGTGTTCGATATCTGGAATGTCCGACTTCACTGTCCGACATGTTCGACTGTTCTTTTATCTGTTAAGATCCCATTTCACCAACAGATGCCTCACATGGTTCAAACTTGTTGTTGACTCACCGCTTCACAGTACTTGACCTTTACAGCCGAATATTTCACCGGCAATCGAATGCCCATAGAGTAGCATATTAACGATTAATGTCTCAGTTATTATTATTATTGGAACAATGCTATCGTAATGTCCACTCCTGCGAGCCTCTCGTTCAGCGATTCGTTTCGCCTCAATCTCTTCAGCCATGCGTTGCGCTTCATTATCGTCGATAACACGCTTCTCATCAGTTTGGGTTGCAGAGACCATCTTGGAATCGATGGGATCCCTGTCTTTAGGCTGTTGTAGGTCAATTTCCACTCGTTTCTTGACGGACTTTTTAGCCACAGGGGTCGTTTTCATCTTAGACACGCCCGACTTTTTTGTCATCGCCGAGGATGCCTTTGCGTTGATAGATTTGCCCATGGTGCGCCGGTGTTGAATGGTTGGCTTGGTGATAAATTCGAAAGTTTTCTACGTAAATTCAGTACTAGCGCTACGCAAGGCAGACTGGTTGGTTCTGCCGGATTGCGTGTTGTTTCGTTTCTGAAATAATTTTTTCTATTCCTATTAGATCTTATTCTACTGCTATTCTTGCCAGAAGTCGATCAACAATGATCTCCACAAGCAGGTACAAAAAATCTCTTCCGGAAGCAACCTGCGTCAGCTCTCACCAGCTGTCGCGGCGTATAAAGCACATACGCACATGTTCTTCACGAACTAGTCACAGATCTGGATCTACCTTCAATACTTATCCATCTCTGTAAGTACTTGAACCGTACTCCCGTCCGTGTTCGATATCTGGAATGTCCGACTTCACTGTCCGACATGTTCGACTGTTCTTTTATCTGTTAAGATCCCATTTCACCAACAGATGCCTCACATGGTTCAAACTTGTTGTTGACTCACCGCTTCACAGTACTTGACCTTTACAGCCGAATATTTCACCGGCAATCGAATGCCCATAGAGTAGCATATTAACGATTAATGTCTCAGTTATTATTATTATTGGAACAATGCTATCGTAATGTCCACTCCTGCGAGCCTCTCGTTCAGCGATTCGTTTCGCCTCAATCTCTTCAGCCATGCGTTGCGCTTCATTATCGTCGATAACACGCTTCTCATCAGTTTGGGTTGCAGAGACCATCTTGGAATCGATGGGATCCCTGTCTTTAGGCTGTTGTAGGTCAATTTCCACTCGTTTCTTGACGGACTTTTTAGCCACAGGGGTCGTTTTCATCTTAGACACGCCCGACTTTTTTGTCATCGCCGAGGATGCCTTTGCGTTGATAGATTTGCCCATGGTGCGCCGGTGTTGAATGGTTGGCTTGGTGATAAATTCGAAAGTTTTCTACGTAAATTCAGTACTAGCGCTACGCAAGGCAGACTGGTTGGTTCTGCCGGATTGCGTGTTGTTTCGTTTCTGAAATAATTTTTTCTATTCCTATTAGATCTTATTCTACTGCTATTCTTGCCAGAAGTCGATCAACAATGATCTCCACAAGCAGGTACAAAAAATCTCTTCCGGAAGCAACCTGCGTCAGCTCTCACCAGCTGTCGCGGCGTATAAAGCACATACGCACATGTTCTTCACGAACTAGTCACAGATCTGGATCTACCTTCAATACTTATCCATCTCTGTAAGTACTTGAACCGTACTCCCGTCCGTGTTCGATATCTGGAATGTCCGACTTCACTGTCCGACATGTTCGACTGTTCTTTTATCTGTTAAGATCCCATTTCACCAACAGATGCCTCACATGGTTCAAACTTGTTGTTGACTCACCGCTTCACAGTACTTGACCTTTACAGCCGAATATTTCACCGGCAATCGAATGCCCATAGAGTAGCATATTAACGATTAATGTCTCAGTTATTATTATTATTGGAACAATGCTATCGTAATGTCCACTCCTGCGAGCCTCTCGTTCAGCGATTCGTTTCGCCTCAATCTCTTCAGCCATGCGTTGCGCTTCATTATCGTCGATAACACGCTTCTCATCAGTTTGGGTTGCAGAGACCATCTTGGAATCGATGGGATCCCTGTCTTTAGGCTGTTGTAGGTCAATTTCCACTCGTTTCTTGACGGACTTTTTAGCCACAGGGGTCGTTTTCATCTTAGACACGCCCGACTTTTTTGTCATCGCCGAGGATGCCTTTGCGTTGATAGATTTGCCCATGGTGCGCCGGTGTTGAATGGTTGGCTTGGTGATAAATTCGAAAGTTTTCTACGTAAATTCAGTACTAGCGCTACGCAAGGCAGACTGGTTGGTTCTGCCGGATTGCGTGTTGTTTCGTTTCTGAAATAATTTTTTCTATTCCTATTAGATCTTATTCTACTGCTATTCTTGCCAGAAGTCGATCAACAATGATCTCCACAAGCAGGTACAAAAAATCTCTTCCGGAAGCAACCTGCGTCAGCTCTCACCAGCTGTCGCGGCGTATAAAGCACATACGCACATGTTCTTCACGAACTAGTCACAGATCTGGATCTACCTTCAATACTTATCCATCTCTGTAAGTACTTGAACCGTACTCCCGTCCGTGTTCGATATCTGGAATGTCCGACTTCACTGTCCGACATGTTCGACTGTTCTTTTATCTGTTAAGATCCCATTTCACCAACAGATGCCTCACATGGTTCAAACTTGTTGTTGACTCACCGCTTCACAGTACTTGACCTTTACAGCCGAATATTTCACCGGCAATCGAATGCCCATAGAGTAGCATATTAACGATTAATGTCTCAGTTATTATTATTAGGAGCATGATAGGAATCGTTTTCGGATACCCTTTGTGCCCTGGGGCCCTTGCCTGTCTTTCTTTTGCTCATCTTGGTCCTTTGTTTTCCAGTTGAAAACAACCTCTTTTTCGGCGTCGCTACGGCCGCTCCGTGTAGGAGAAGTACTAGAGGTGCTGTTTTGGAACCCGGATTTGCGTGTGGTTTTTAATTGTGTGTTTTTTCGGAATATAGTCATTGGTAGACAAGGAAGAGTGGCTTAAGTTGCTTCGTCAGGAACGCAGAGATTTCCGTCGCTCCATGAAAGCACAACGCCGCAGTCTGCGGACTATTTTCTCCCCTGGACCCTGACCAACTTTTCGCGGGACCTCACATGCCCCGAATTCACCCTGCCACGTCGCGGGAGAAGTCTTTACCCCTTTGGGAGACTTGAGCAACTTCTGTTCAAAATGCAGATGCCTCAAATGGTTCAAACTTGTTGTTGACTCACCGCTTCACAGTACTTGACCTTTACAGCCGAATATTTCACCGGCAATCGAATGCCCATAGAGTAGCATATTAACGATTAATGTCTCAGTTATTATTATTAGGAGCATGATAGGAATCGTTTTCGGATACCCTTTGTGCCCTGGGGCCCTTGCCTGTCTTTCTTTTGCTCATCTTGGTCCTTTGTTTTCCAGTTGAAAACAACCTCTTTTTCGGCGTCGCTACGGCCGCTCCGTGTAGGAGAAGTACTAGAGGTGCTGTTTTGGAACCCGGATTTGCGTGTGGTTTTTAATTGTGTGTTTTTTCGGAATATAGTCATTGGTAGACAAGGAAGAGTGGCTTAAGTTGCTTCGTCAGGAACGCAGAGATTTCCGTCGCTCCATGAAAGCACAACGCCGCAGTCTGCGGACTATTTTCTCCCCTGGACCCTGACCAACTTTTCGCGGGACCTCACATGCCCCGAATTCACCCTGCCACGTCGCGGGAGAAGTCTTTACCCCTTTGGGAGACTTGAGCAACTTCTGTTCAAAATGCAGATGCCTCAAATGGTTCAAACTTGTTGTTGACTCACCGCTTCACAGTACTTGACCTTTACAGCCGAATATTTCACCGGCAATCGAATGCCCATAGAGTAGCATATTAACGATTAATGTCTCAGTTATTATTATTAGGAGCATGATAGGAATCGTTTTCGGATACCCTTTGTGCCCTGGGGCCCTTGCCTGTCTTTCTTTTGCTCATCTTGGTCCTTTGTTTTCCAGTTGAAAACAACCTCTTTTTCGGCGTCGCTACGGCCGCTCCGTGTAGGAGAAGTACTAGAGGTGCTGTTTTGGAACCCGGATTTGCGTGTGGTTTTTAATTGTGTGTTTTTTCGGAATATAGTCATTGGTAGACAAGGAAGAGTGGCTTAAGTTGCTTCGTCAGGAACGCAGAGATTTCCGTCGCTCCATGAAAGCACAACGCCGCAGTCTGCGGACTATTTTCTCCCCTGGACCCTGACCAACTTTTCGCGGGACCTCACATGCCCCGAATTCACCCTGCCACGTCGCGGGAGAAGTCTTTACCCCTTTGGGAGACTTGAGCAACTTCTGTTCAAAATGCAGATGCCTCAAATGGTTCAAACTTGTTGTTGACTCACCGCTTCACAGTACTTGACCTTTACAGCCGAATATTTCACCGGCAATCGAATGCCCATAGAGTAGCATATTAACGATTAATGTCTCAGTTATTATTATTAGGAGCATGATAGGAATCGTTTTCGGATACCCTTTGTGCCCTGGGGCCCTTGCCTGTCTTTCTTTTGCTCATCTTGGTCCTTTGTTTTCCAGTTGAAAACAACCTCTTTTTCGGCGTCGCTACGGCCGCTCCGTGTAGGAGAAGTACTAGAGGTGCTGTTTTGGAACCCGGATTTGCGTGTGGTTTTTAATTGTGTGTTTTTTCGGAATATAGTCATTGGTAGACAAGGAAGAGTGGCTTAAGTTGCTTCGTCAGGAACGCAGAGATTTCCGTCGCTCCATGAAAGCACAACGCCGCAGTCTGCGGACTATTTTCTCCCCTGGACCCTGACCAACTTTTCGCGGGACCTCACATGCCCCGAATTCACCCTGCCACGTCGCGGGAGAAGTCTTTACCCCTTTGGGAGACTTGAGCAACTTCTGTTCAAAATGCAGATGCCTCAAATGGTTCAAACTTGTTGTTGACTCACCGCTTCACAGTACTTGACCTTTACAGCCGAATATTTCACCGGCAATCGAATGCCCATAGAGTAGCATATTAACGATTAATGTCTCAGTTATTATTATTAGGAGCATGATAGGAATCGTTTTCGGATACCCTTTGTGCCCTGGGGCCCTTGCCTGTCTTTCTTTTGCTCATCTTGGTCCTTTGTTTTCCAGTTGAAAACAACCTCTTTTTCGGCGTCGCTACGGCCGCTCCGTGTAGGAGAAGTACTAGAGGTGCTGTTTTGGAACCCGGATTTGCTTGTGGTTTTTAATTGTGTGAATATAGGTATGAGACATTGGGGAAAACCGAACTGACGAAATAGTGGTGTGAGGCTTGTGTGAATATCTGATTCTTTGTTCAACGGATAAGCACGAGCCCACTGTACTGGTGTAGCATAGACCGCGACGCAAGCAAGTGTTTCCTTCAGCTGACTTGCAGGGTCCAAACTTAAGATCAACATAGACATTTGTCTTCAATCTTGGATACTCCAACTGATATTGTACAGGGCAAAAACGGCGAGACCCTTGAACAACCGACCAATCACAAACGGCACGTTGAGTTGTCTTCTCCAGGGTGCGACGAGCACATTCAATACTGGTTCTCCATCGACGAGCAAGTTGATCCGGCTTGATGAGATAGGATTTTCCGGAAGTTTGTACGCCACATACGACATTGTTGCTGTCCCCTAAAACTTGCATAGAAAAACAAAAAAGAAAAACAAAAAGCACTGAACCAATCGGAACTTTGCAAACGGTCTTTGTAGCCTAAGTACTAGAGTCTACGTAGAAATTGCTTAAGTTTTTATCAATTCAACGGCATTTCACTTTTTTACAATGGGGAAGTATACATCATTGAAGGTTGTTTCAACGACTGCCAACAAGGCGGGCGGGTCCAGATCCAAATCGGTTTCTGTCGCCAAAAAGAGCAGAAAGAAAAGATTGGAAAATGCATCTGCAGTTGATTTACGTCAACCTAAGGACAGGGATCCTAGTGGTAACAATGATTCGGAGATTCAAGAGTTGATAGCATCCCTTCCCCCACTGATTGATTTTGGTCTCTCTACTCACGACTTGGTTGCTATCGGCTACAACTATAATTCAACTAAGATTTTGTTTGGCAACTCCATTTTCAATCAATGGATGGAAAGTCATAACAATCGGTGGACCCAAGCGCTCCCAAGGTTTGACAGCCCGTTCAAGGACCTCTACGCTAACCTTTCAGTTGAAGTCAGGGTCAACATGCTATTCGCTCAATATGCGAACAATTGGCGGCGAGTGTTAAAATTCTTAATCTTGCTTTTTGATGATGATTGTTAGAAGTAAGCGATCCACTGCCGCCTGCAATCTACCTGTTCAATTGATTGCAATTTAGCTGTCCAGGTATTGTTGCCTTCTAAGTATGTGAATTTACAGTATATAGAAGTATATAGATCAATCAGAGATCCTACTTTATCAACCAATTCACTCGTTGCTTGCAATATATTATAAAAAGTGAGAACAATCTGTCAACTTTTGACTTTGACTATTTCTTCTCCAGCTCAGTGGAAATTCTCAGAATTCTCTCTACGTCGGCCTGATATGCTGCAAGTTCAATGTGTTTCTCCGTTCACCTTCCACTGTAGTTGGTACTTTGATTAGTATCCAACTTTGGTTCTTGCTTGAATCTTGATTTCTTACATCATCAACAAGATGATTTCCATAGAAATATGATCTGTATTCTGACTCGCCACGCGCGATATTTTTAGTTGCATCAGTCTTCATTTTTAGTCGTATCAGTCGACATCTTTTCTCTATCGTTCACATGTATTTTCTTTTTCTCATTTCTCCAAATATGTACTTCAAAAATCCTAATATATCCAACACACTCCTGCCGTTTCATTAACATAGTTGATGACAACGGAACATCAAAGGAAATTGCGTTGCTCCTAATCTTGTTCTCCTTGGATCAATGATCTGAATTCCAAGAAATTTTGTCCCTGTAGAGGTTTGCTCATGAAATCTCCCCACATCTTTTCAGTTGGACAATATTCAATAGTCACATTTTCTTTCTTGACTTGATCAGTCATAAAGAAATATCCAATGTTCAAAGCTCGGCTTTGCTTTCCGGCACTATCATGTCCATCCTTTTCCAATAGAATTGAACTCTTGTTATCCTGATATAGGATGTTCTCTTTAACAGGATAACCTTGTGCTTCCACAAATAATTTTGTCCACAATATCTGTGTCGCAGCATCATCGACACCAATCAATTCGGCTTCTGTTGAACTTCGACTGTTCAGTTTCTGTTTCTTTGAGATTATTTGTAATCCTCTTTCACCCATAGTCAATACACCTCCAGTGTGACTTCTGAAATCTGGATGAACTGCAAATGATGCATCAATATACCATTTGAAAGTTCGTAAATCTTTTGCACTCAGCGTCAGGTGCATTCCCTTTGTTCCATTCAGATAATGCATCAGCTTCACTAGCTTCTTCCAATCAGTTTGATTTGGCTTCTGCACTCTTGTAGAAAGTACTGAAATAGTTGGAGCAATATCCAATCTCGCTCTCTTACTCAGAAATAATCCTTTGGCAATGAATGTGTGAAATGTTTCACGTTTTTCATCATCCAATTTTTCTCCTTTTCCGATTGATAATATATCATTACTTGCTGGTGTCTTACACCCTTCATTTTCCTTGAACTTCACAGGAAATTCATTCAACATTCTATTGACATAGTCATCCATTCGAATTTTCACTTTCCCCCTTTTACTGAAATCTAGGGTCATTCCCAAATATTCGTGAATTTTTCCTCGCTTAGATTTGACTGGTTTGATTGAACCATATTTTTTATTCATCCATTCACAAAAATCATCATTCACTTTTGGATTGATGTGGCTTGATAACAGATCGTCCACATGAAATCGAATAGTTTGTTGTTTGCCATTCACAATCTTGTTGGCAATGCATCCATCATATGAATTGAAAATAAAACCATGTTTCTCCATGTCTCCTCTCAACTTTTTGTACCAGAGCATAGAGGCCTGTAACATCCCATAGATGGCTCGCAATACTCTCACGTAAATCACTCGTTCTCCGTTCTCAATTACAACGTAATCACGATACCTTGGCTCCAGTTGTATCATCATGTCGACCAATAATCCAGTGATCTTCATCATCACTGTCAATTCTTCATCCATTGGCATTTGAGTTTGAATAAATGCATTTGGAATGTCCAAAGACATCATATCTCATCCTTCATACGCATCAATCACACATGTGATCATAATCGCTTCCAATGCTGCAGTTGGACTTGAAGTATCCTCTCGAGATAACCATTCTCGAGTTCCATCTCCTTTATAGACACATCTTCCTTTTATTTCACCAGTGTTTTTCTCAGCTAATAACATCATAGCATCTTGGGCTCTTCTTTTTTCCAAATCAGTCATGTCTTCAACATGAATTGGTTCCCAACATTCTCTTTGTATCAATTGGTCAAGCTCTTTCATCACAGCCTTATTACCTTCTTCTTTGAATATTTTCAGTCCCTTATTTAG